ATATTAAAGGACCACTATAGGCACCCAGACCACTTCAGCTTAATGAAGTGGTCTAGGTGCCAGGTCCAGCTAGGTTTAACCTTTTTTTTTATTAACATAGCAGTTTCAGAGAAACTGATATGTTTATATTAGGGTTAATCCAGCCTCTAGTGGCTGTCTCATTGACAGCCGCTAGAGGGCTTCCGCGCTTCTCACTGTGATTTTCACAGTGAGAAGACGCCAGCGTCCATAGGAAAGCATTGATAATGCTTTCCTATGAGACTGGCTGAATGCGCGGCTCTTGCCGCGCATGCGCATTCAGCCGGTGACAGAAGAAGAGGGAGGAGAGGAGGAGGAGAGCTCCCCGCCGGGCGCTGGAGAAAGAGGTAAGTTTAACCCCTTCCTCCCCCCAGAGCCCGGAGCACCCTCAGGGCACTATAGTGCCAGGAAAACGAGTATGTCCTTTAATTGTTCATACCTTTATTATTTCTACAATTTGGAAAGACCAAATTGCAAACATATCTGGCTTAAGTCAAATACATAAAAAGAAAGCATTATAAAATCTTCAGTCAACCTGATGAAAGAGTCATTTTTCTTGCAGTAAATTTATAGTTGGATGATGATAATATTAATAATGATAATGGTCTATAAATAGGAACAGATATTTCTATTGGGGATCAAAACTGTAAAATCTTGAGAAGTCGACCATTGCACCTGTCACATAAACCTTTAGATAGAACTGTACCTAGTTCAGTCTACAATTCTTATTGCACTTAAAAAATCAACTCCCAAGTGAACATTACAGTTTAATGATTCCTATTTCCCCTTCTTGCTTCGTCTAAAGGACTTCATTCTTTATAACCAAGGCTGATCTATGAGCACTATCCACAATAGATGCTCCATAAATTAAGTATTATATGAGGAGGTGTTTTTTTCCCCCTCTCTACCTCCCTTAGTGAGAACCTGTTTTTATATATTCTTCTTTTTCCAAAATAAAATTTACAGCTTCTTTCCTCTACATCTTGCAGTATTCGAGACTGTAGGCAAAAGTTTGCAGCTTACAATAGCTGCCATGAATCAGTTATTTAAACATGACATGCAGTGAAAAATTAGAAGTTGTTGAGCAGTAAGGGGGCAGGGGAGGAGAAAAATACAAAAGCAAATAAATAACAAAAAATATAAATAAAATGTGTCTGGTAAGAAAGGAAATAAGTAACAGTGTTATAAAGGAGAACATTTTGAGAAAAGAAAAGACCAGAATAAGCAAAACATCCTTGTAGTGGACATGTACTTCATAGTTAAAAAAATGGATCTTGGTCCTGAATGTTCAATACAAATTATATATATTTCATTTCGTGCCTATTTGGTGTCTATCATCCGCACGCGTAGTATGCTGGAGACAAATGACAAGGCCCCCCTCTGTACAGTCCTATCTCTGCCCATTCTCAGGGAAGTCCCTCCTCTTCTTGCAAAAAGTTTTTTTTTCTTTTATGGGAGGATCCTTCTTTTAAGGCTTAGTCTATCCAAAAACAGTTGTTTATTGAAATACTGTTTTTGGTTGAAGTAACCCTTTAAAGTTGGATGTTTTTTTCTACTGATGACATGTTTCAGAACAGTTGGTGTATTGTTTTTATGTTCAAACTTTATTTGTGGCACATTGCCCATATATTTGTTTCATGTGTTTGTTATCATTGAGAAGCATTGGATTAGACTTTTTCAAGCACTGAAGTGATTTCGCAAGAGGCAGAATGAGCAACTGCAAGGACTTAATTTTGGCTGTAAAATTTGGCTGTTAATTAACATTACCAATTAGACGCTTAGATTTATACATAAAAGTGAAAGCATAGCACTAGCAATCCACTAGTATATGGTACTACACCTCTTCTTTACAAATGTTTCATTAGTCTGTCTCATGTAAGTGTTTCCACTGTGTTCTACATGTATCAATAGCTGAACAAGAACTGGAGACCTTCCAATTGGTCATCTTTGGTCTATGATTGGCTAAAAGAGTTTAATTACAATTATTTTAAAATAAAACACACAAATCTTTGTTGTGCATCTGCAATCTCATAACAAGTTGAAAGATAAAAGATCCACACAATAGAGACTGATGTAACACATTAGCCCTCACGCAGCTATTTCTAGAACTCAGATTTACATTGAGGGAAAAAAACATTAACTTTAAACCAGTCTCGTTTTACAATAAAATCCAAGAGGGAACATGAGGGAACATTAAGCACAAAAAGATAGACCACACAGCAATTAAACAGCTATCATAAGAAGACAAAAGGAATAGTGTATTATGTGTTACACCTTGCAGCCATGCAAGATCCCAAAGGAAGTTTCACTACTAAGACCTTCTCTCACCGGAGTTTGCAGGAGTCAGCCTGTAGCACTGCTACATCAAGCTTCTAATGGAATCCAGGGGGAACATGATGTCTTTAATCTAAAAGGAAGACAGAAAGAAAAAAGGTTTGCCTGTGTTCACATTTTTCACATACAATGGGCAAAAATAGAATCACACAATAAAAAGCTAAAAGCTTCCTGACTCTTTTACCCTTTAATGAGTAAGAGTCACATTGATGACAAATTCTTGTGTATTTCACATAATAATTCCCAAGTCAGGATGAATGACATTCATATTTTGAATATGTGTGTTGGTAAAAATAGTGAAGGTCATAGCCATAAATAGTAGATTAGTTCTAATGTTGAAAGCAGAAATTACTTTAAAAGGTTGATAAAAGATACTTTTTTAGTTTATAAAATTTGTGTTTTGATTGCATCAAAATGTTGTGCTAAAGTCTAGAAATAAGTGGGGGTTTTTTATCTTTGAAACATTTATGATGTGTGTATGTAAATGTTGTATTAACACTAAAAAGCGATATTTTATCCTTGGATGAGTCTTGAAAAATATTTACACATTCGTAAATATGATTCAGATATTCTTAACAAATAAATGTCACATTAAGATAAAAATATTTTTGTTCCGACATATAAACATAACTAAGACACCCCTTTTTTATTTATAGATATATAGCTCAATTTCTATTATTTTTCTTTTTACTATGCTTTACATGTCAACTGAAATGCATCAGTTTATATTCCATAATTCCCCCCTCACGTTCCAGACTTCATTCTATGCATTCACTTTTATTTTGTTTTCATTAGTTTTTTTGACAGCATACTTTCATTTGGGGGTCTTAGACACACAGACAAGCTTCTAAAACAACCTCATTATTTTTAGGCACTCATTTCGTGATTGTAGCTGGAATTCTGTGACAGAATTGTAGCTATGTATAAAAATGATGATTAACAGAAGTAATAGCTACATTTACGCTGGATTAACAAATAGGTTCCATGTTATAATGAAAAATAAATCCTGATAAATATTGTAGCACTCCATGAGTAAATGCCTCTCATCCCTCTCAGCTCAAGTATGTGAAGGAGGGGGGGGGAGGCAGCATGGAGACATGGGGACACTAATACACTAGGGGACACTGGGAGACATGGGGACACTGGGAAACATGGGGACACGGACATGGGGACACTAGGGACACAGTGTCTCCATGTCTCCCAGTGTCCCCATGTCTCCCAGCCAGTGACCCTAGTGTCTCAGTATCCCCATGGCTCCCAGTGTTCCCATATCTCCCTGTGTCCCCATGTCTCCCAGTGTCCACATGTCTCCCAGTGTCCACATGTCTCCCAGCCAGTATCTCAGTGTCCCAATGTCTCCCAGTGTCCCTCTGTCTCCCAGCCAGTGTCACTAGTGTCTATGTCCCCACATCTCCCAGTGTCTGTGTCCCCATGTCTCCCAGTGTCCCCATGTCTATGTCCACAAGTGCCCCCATGTCTCCCAGTGTCTCCAAGTGTCTGTGTCCCCATGCCTCCCAGCCAGTGTCCCTAGTGCCTCAGTGTCCCCATGTCTACCAGTGTCCCCTAGTCTCCCAGTGTCTGTGTCCCCATGTCTCTGTCTCTCTAGTGTCTGTGACCCCATTTCTCTCAGTGTCCCCTTGTCTCCCAGTGTCCCCATGCCTGTATCCACAAGTGCCCCCATGTCTCCCAGTGTCTCAGTGTCCCCGGGTCTCTCAGTGTCCCCTAGTATCCTAGTGACAAGGGACACAGTGAGACATGGGGACACAGGGAGAAATGGGGACACAGACACTGGGAGACCAGGGGACTGGGCAACATGGGGACACTGACACTGTGATACATAGGGACACTGATGCCAGACTGGCCTTCCAATTTTACATTTTGGCCATGCTCGCCCCTTTTGGCAGTTCTGGTCAAATGATTCGCATCAGTGGCCCACTCTTTTACCCTGCCCATTGACTTCCTGCTTCACTGGACACTGCTGTTAAGGGGTATGGATTTACTTGAAAAATGAAAGCATAAATTAGAAAAAGAGATTAGAATAGAGTATGTGTTTTCCTATAGCTGCATCCTTTGAGTTTCCCTCCAACACCAAATCCATCAGATACATGATGCTTAGGAGGTATGACTGTTTATGTTTTTGGTCGATATGATTCTGTAATTAGGCACCATCATAATTGTCAGCACCAGGCCCACTGGGCTTTTAATCTGGCCCTGCCCCCACTGCCCGATCTGGCCCTCCCGGGCCATGTGATTGTGGGGTCCTCAGGATCACATGGCTGGAACATCCGTCTTGTGCAGTGCCTGCAGGGGGCCTGTCTGAGCTCTCAGACAATCCCCCTAGTGCCTGAAAAAAAGTTTCAAAAGTTAGTCAAAGTTAGTCAAAGTTACAAAAAAGTTTTATAAAGTACATAAAGTACATAAAAAGTATATAAATAAAAGTATTTTAATAATAATTATATATATATATATATATATATATATATTAAAATATACTTAGAATGATGTTAATTTTATATATATATATATAAATTGAAAAAAATGTAATTAAATAAAAAAAAAAAATGATATACCGGTTTAAATTTGTTCTAACTGTATTTTGATATATATATATATATATATATATATATATATATAAATATAAAATAGATTTAGAATGACATTGTGAGAAAATCAGCATTTTCTAACTTTGTTCGTGCAATATTTTGGATATTTTTCTTAATCTCCAGGGCACTTCCCAGTCCAGAGGCCCAGTAATGCACGATCTGTGCCAGGTGGTCGGGCAGCGACCATTCGGAGGATCTGGGATGTCTGATGGACTGAGGGTCGAACAGGGGTTCGCCTGTAGTGTTCAGGAAGACATCGTTGTCCAGTAAGGAAGTTGGCACTCTTTTTGCGGAAGTTTTCCCCAGACTCACAGGGCCACATGGGGTCATCGATGTTTTCTTCACCCTACCGTCCTCTTCATCCAAAGGCGAATGGTCCATCCAGCATTCATCCAGGATGGCCATGGGTGGGGGGGTGTGGTGTCCTCCTTCCCTTCGTCCAAGAGGTGTCTGCAACGAAAAGGCGAGTCCGAGAACACCGGCCCCTGTCGCTTTGCCGGGGCATTACCCTTCCAATAGCACTTATGTGCCCTTGCCTGATCTCTCCTCAGCCAAGTCGTTTGCTGTGTGAGGGGTCCCACTAGGGCCCCAATCTTGCGGTGCTTGCGGGAGAGCCCTGGCCAGGGCTTTTTCCATGGAGGTGGACACCACCACATTGATCATAGCCTGCAAGCCCTGCTCTTGTGTAGAGGGCTCCATAGCTGGGGAGTCGTAAGTAATTTGACACCTAGGAGGCACAGAGGACAAGTGTCATCAGCAGAATAATTGTAGCAGCACCCCAATATAGTGGCAGAGGCAAATTGGACAACCCATGCAAGGCACAAGCATGTGTATGTAAATAGCCAGGCTGGGCATCCAGAGGTAATGGCACAGACAGCACAGGCCAAATCAAGGGGCAGAGACAAAAGCAGGCCAATCAAGAGGGCACAGACAAAGCAGGTCAATCAGTGGGCACAGACAAAGCAGGCCAATCAGTGGGCGCAGACAAAGCAAGCCAATAGTGCGCACAGTTAAGGGTAGGCCAGCAGAGAGGTTCTAATTTCTGTAGCAATATGGTATATATGTCATACAAAAACCAGAAGGCTGGCAGGCAAGGGAAGGCCCAAGTGTTAGGGAAGATGGCTATCACCTAGGTGGGCCTCCCACTTATAAATCAGATGTACAAAAGTGGCTACATCAAGGTTAGAAAACAAATCCCCCTAGGTTTTTGATGGAGGGGTCCCTGAGGAGTGGAGATGAGAACTGCCACTCCCACATGACCAGTCTGCCCTCACCTCTCCACACATGCCGCCCACGGGCAGCGATCCTGATGGAGTCTTTCGGTTTTGGGTGCATGGGAGGGAGAGAGCGGGTCGGAGGAGATAGTGTCTCTCGCCAGAATCACACCGCTGCACGGGAGCTTACACGTGGGGCCGCCTGAGATGTATTATGTGTCCCCGGCGGTCGAAAGAGCGGGTAGGCAGTTAACTGAACTTCTCCCTGGTGACCACGTGGGGTTGGAAAAATACTGTTACAAAGTCCCCTCTGTCTGCTACAACCTTGCTACCTTAATTTCACGAAAACTGTCTCAGGTCATTCGTATGTACGAATGACCAACCACCCAGCCCTGGTGTGTGCCACTAATTAACCTAGTTCACCTCTACAATACTGAATAAACTATCGAATGATGACCACCCTTCATGAGGAGTGTGCCCCTAATTAACCACCCAGGAGTTCCTTTTTTTTCTTGTTAACCGCAGCCTAATTGACAGTCAACGGGGTGGTCGCCGTTCGTCTGAAAATGTCAAACAAAATACCAAACTAAATACTGAACAAGCTATCGAACGACCGACCACCCTACCTGAGGAGTGTGCCCTGCTTAACCACCCAGGAGCTGGGTTTTTTGTGGTTAACCGCAGCCTGAATAACCGTCGACAGGGTGGTCTTCATTCGTATGCACGAACACGTGGCGGAGGCCAACTTTAACTGCTGTATGCCCAGCGGGACCTTTGGATACTATTTCATAAGAACCCCGCTGGGATTTCTCATGCTCCGTCCGTTCATGTATAAAATACCGACGACCGTGCCATCGACTATGTAGAGTATACCGACCCCTTGCAGGACACTATGGCCGAGGCCTTGGATAATAACTGCCGAACAGCCCTCAAGACAATCTTTATCCCCATGGCGTTCCCATGCCATTTGTGAGATCTGATCACTTTTCGTATATCTTGTGCGCTCAGATCCAAGCTGTCTGGGGATGTTGAATGTGTATATTAAAGAATATGGTGTATGTTATGTATTTCTATTCAGTTTTCATGTATCTATAAAAGTTAGAAATTTTGCCTGTACCTGGAGATAATTGAGTTACTGTAAACGTTGCAACTAATTATCTCCAGGCTAGAGGGGAGGGTTTGAAAAGATGCACTTTGCCCCCATTGGTTATTGTCCCTTGTCACCATGTATGCCATCAGGTCCAAAGGGCTGTGCCTCTGGCCTGAAAATATGTATTTAAGCAGTGCATGAGTGATCAATAAACCAGTCTTCTTTCCCTCAACTCGCAGGCTCGACTCGTGTTGTAGGGAAATGCGTTATGCTAGCTCTACCTATTGCTTGCTTGATGTTCTACACTTGCAGGATTATCGCTGGATGCTGTTTGGAATTTCGCTACTGCTCTCCAAGATTAGGAACCAGGACATCTAAGCGTTCCAACCCTCAGCCAGCCTGAGGCAACCGTAACAAATACCTCAGGCAAACCCTAGACAGGAAGGGGGGCTAAGGGAGAAGGACAGTGGAAAGAAAGTGCAAAAAACCCTGGCCCCAAATAAAGGAGGGAAATAAAGCCCAGCCCAAAAAAGTAGTTTAAAACAAAAATTGCAATAAAGAATAGTATATAAAAAATACATAAAATCAAATAATAGATAATATCCTACACCCATAAGGGAATAGGAGGCAGTGGTACTCTGACCTGTGCTTGATGTGGAGCAGCAAAGAAAGAGGAAGTAGTTGGTTGGGAGGGGACTTTTATTGTTCCTTACTTTTTTCTAATTGATTGTTTTCTCTCTATGTTAATGTGCTGCTGTGGAGTTCTAGTAAAGAGAGACTTAAGCAAATATGAAGCCTCCTGTCATGTTATAAAACTGTTACAAAGATCAAGAATCACTTCCACCAACCAAGAGTCTATTAGCTTGCACAGGCCAAATAGGCCAGGTCTGTATACTACTCAGGTTGCAATGTTATTTTAACATATTCATTAGTGGAACCAAATGAATCCAGAAATTTGCAGTGAAATACTAAATGGAGCAATAGGTGAGTAGAAAACAGGGAATACTGCTGATAGCGTAGTATCATTTTTAAACACTCAGGTGCATGTTACCTTTGGGAAATGCAGTCCACGCTCCTTCTTAGTGCCGGTCTGCTTTGGAGTGAATCATGTGATTTCCAGGGTCTATTATTCACCACCCAAAGCAAGGTGAAAGTGACAAAGGTTATACTGTCATAGAAAGAGTGAAGATAAATACCATTTGTGGCAAAAGTAACCTCACCACTGGGTTTTGGAGAGACTTGCTTGCCAGCCTCTTGCCCTGTGATTATGGCCCTGGGGTGTATTGCCTTTTAAAAACACTATTTGTGCATATTGGGACTTAGCACAATGCCCCTTTTAAACATGTGGTGGTGGCCATCTTAAATTGTCCAGCAGTGTTTTGTGGTTGAGTGTATGGAACTGTTTTGGGCATGGGACCATGTGCACGGTGGGGCAAAAATAAGACTTCCAGGAAATTCCTGAACACCTCAACCGATCTGGGTGATTTTTGGATATGTTGTATTTTGGGGTTTGTAAAAATTTATGTTTTTTTCTGCTTAGAGTTAGTCTATTGTCTTTGTTAATTGTATCACAAGCAGAGGGGAGGGTTTGTATACATTACCTGGGAGTGTCTAACTGTACAAGACTGTTTTGATTGTTTTTGTGACTTTGTGTCCTGTGCGCCACAAGGTCCACCTGGGTGGTAACCTTGTGGGGAAAACTGAATAAAAGACAATAAACCCTCAGATCTGCTGAGTTCCTGTTTTACCCTCAACATAAAGCCTCGTCTCATGTGTGGGGGAAAAGGCTGCATCTATACGGGGAGATTTCTATACTCTGTTACTCTGCTACTCTCTCTTGGAGGAGAGGTTCACCCACTGGAACCTGGAGCCTTGTCGTAGGTCCAAGGTTGGTAGAGGATGGAGAGTTCCCAGCCAAGCTGCGGTGGTTCGTGGGATCTGCAGTTCTTATGGTGTCTGGTGTGGTGCTGCTGGTCCTTGGTTAGAACTAGCCCATCGATTGACAGAGGGTCCATCACACCATTACCAAAACAAGGAAACATATAAGCCATGTAAATCATTTATATCAAGCAAATTGGTCAAACAAAGACTGAATATGAAGAAGGGAGAATTTAAATTATGTTTATTTTGTTTACAACTACTGCTACCAAACAAAATATTGTGGTACACCCAATAACAATCATCCATGGCCAATAGTAAATAAATCATATGCAAGTGATTGCTTTCCTATCAGCCACAACGGGATGAGGCGGGAGATAATGCCACATTTTACAGTAATGCCAGATGGGTGAATGGTAACTTGTGAATCATTTCCCCCTAAATGAAGTAGAAAATACATTTTACAAATATGTATGTAATATGTCTAAAGCCTGCATATGAATGCATGTCTGTGATATAGGAACACAAAAATGTGGTGTGCAAATACATGCACATGTAGTATGTAAATAACTCATGTAATTTGTGAATGCATGCATGTACTCTGTGTGTGAAAACAAATAATAAATACACACACATATAAATTTAGCAATGTTATGTAGCATACATTAATCATTTATACTAGTTCACTATATAATATATAAACTTTGACATTTTCTATAATATATAATTTTCATCAAATACAGTAACATAAAGGATTTTATATTGAGAACAATGTACTGGCAAAACCAACTGTGCCTCATACTATGCTTTTGTATTTCTGCTGTGCATTGACTTGTGTGAACCTCCAGCAACATTAAAATCAACACAATACTTATTTAATGAAAACCTTGTATATGTAGAGACTAGGAAAAAATAATCAAGAGGGCAATACAATCTTGTTCTATATCAATGTACAGACCTAAATGTCAAGTTCGGCCTTGAAAAGATGTTTTTAAAATTATTATTTAATAGAGTTGCATATGTTGACAACATTTATTCCACAAATTTTGCTTTGTAGACGAATAAAATGATTTCACCGGACATGATGTGTGTTTATTGAAGATATGGTTTAGAGATTGTGATATCCAGTATAAACATTTAAAAAAATCTGCTTTTATAACAGAGTGCCAGGTATCCCCTTTTTGTCAACTTTCCTTCGCACGTTCTTGATAAAACAAAAAATA